ATTTAATCTTTGCTTTTGAGTACAATATGCTTCTCAGTTTCAGGAGGTCCCATTTATTAATTGTCGATCTCAGTGTCTGTGCTACTGAAGTTATGTTCAGCAAGTGGTCTCCTGTACCAATTCCTTCAAGGGTACCACCTACTTTCTCTTCTAAGAGGTTCAGTGTGACTTGATTGATGTTGAGTTCTTTGATCCATTTGGACTTAAGTTTTGTGCATGGTGATAGACATGGATCTATCTGCTGTCTTTTACATGCCAACATCCAGTTACACAGCACCATTTGCTGAAGGTGCTTTCTTTTTTCCATTGTATAGTTTTTGAGTACAATATGCTTTAGAAAAGATTTAATTATTTTAATTTTGTGTATATGAGTGTTTTTCCTACATGTCTATAAGTACCATGTGTGTGCAGCACCCACAGAGGTCAGAAAAAGGTATTAGATCTCCTACAACGGGAGTCATGGATGATTGTGAGCCACCATGTGGATGCTGGGAACTAAACCTGGGTCCTCTGAAAGAAGAGCAAGTGCTCCTAACTGCCGAGCCATCTCTTCAGCCCCCTAATTTGCTTTGTAATAGTTTTTACTTATTTGTCGAGGACTTTATAGATACATACAATGTATTTCAATCATTCTTATCCCCATCTCTCTTTTTTTTCCTGGATGCCACACATCCCAGCGTTTCTCCTTTCCCACTTCATGTCCTTTTTTAAAAAAAGAATCCAGTGAATTCAGTTAGTGCTGCTCCCATGCACACAGGTGTGAGGTCATCCCCAGGAATGTGGACAGCTGTCCTGAGTAGCTTTTACTGTCAATTTGACATGATCTAGAGTAACCAGAGAAGGGAGTCTTGATTATGGGATTGCTCAGATAGGATTGGCCTGTGAAGATGTTTGTTGGAGAAATTTCTTGATGTAGTATGACCCTACCCTTTATGGGTGGTGCTATTTTATCAGCGGGTTGTTCTGGGCTGTGTGAGAAAGCTAGATAAGCATGGGTTTATGTGCAAGCCAGCAAGTATTGTTCTCTATTGTTTCTGCTTGAGTTCCTGTCCTGACTTCCTTCAATGACAGACTGTGACCTGGAAATCTAAGCCAAAACTAATCCTTTCCCAAGTTGCTGCTTCTCAGAGTGTTTCATCACTGTTACAGAAAGGCAACCTGAACAGAAATCTACTAGTGGCTACGTTCCTGAAGAGAAATGTCTCTCCCTCCCCCAACAGCCACCAACTCTCAGTGACTCCTCAGTTAGGAGTGGGCCTTGGGAGTCCCTCCCTTATCCATGTTAGAATATTGACGGGCTTGATCTTGCAGAAGTCTTGTGCTGGCAACCACAGATGCTGTGAGTGCCTGAGTTTGATGGCCTTGTGTTCAGACGACACTGATTTGCAGGGATTGTCTTCAAACTCTCTCACACACTTTCAATATTTTCTTTAATGTGTGGGCTGGGATGATAGAAGCCCAGAGTAATTCTTATGAAAAAAACCAGCAGAACCGATAAGGAAACAGGACCAGATCTCCCTGGAATGGGCATGTCCCATCCTTCCCTTTTGTGTTTCAGAGAACTCTCTCTCTCTCTCTCTCTCTCTCTCTCTCTCTCTCTCTCTCCTCTCTATCACACACACTCTCTCTCTCTCTCCCCTCTCTATCACACACGCGCGCGCACACACTCACACACACACACACACGCACACACACACACGCACACACACACGCACGCACACACACACACGCATGCACACACACACACGGCAAGTGGGAAGAGTAACCTGGGAGAAGTTAGGCAGAAATCCATAGCTATTATTTTTGTGGCCTCTGGCTACAAAAGCTAGCAGGTGAAGATAGCCTAGAGACCCAAAATGGGGGAAAATGACATTTTAGCATTTTTGTCGGGTAGGCAATTTAAAAATAAACTTGAATTCAATGTATACCATTAATGCTAGAGGTTGTCTTATAACGATGCAAAAATGCCTTCTCAGTGGCAGTTTAAAAAATAAAAATCTATGTTGTAGGGGGTGGGGAACCTTATATAGAACAGTCTTATGTGAGTGTGATGACAGCCCACAAAGCCACTGAAATCAAACCAAGACTGCGCCCTGCAGAATTAGCACTGTAACCTATGTCAGAGACATGCTATTATCCTAATATCAGCTTTTGGATTCTGTCCAGTCCCATTAGTAATTCCCATGTTGATTGCTCTGTTACTCGTGAACGTTAATTGCTTCTAAATCTCTTTGGATGTTCAGATGCTTGGGTAAGAAAAAAATTCTGACTGGCAAAGGTGCGAGTTTTATTAATGTGGAAGCAAACAGGAAATCTGTTTAGAGATCTGAGTGAAGCTTTTGTGCCTGAAGATGCCGTAAGTGGCAGAGGTGGCATTGTTCTTCGAATGTCTGTCACATGTTAGTGGTGTGAGAGTGGGGGATGGGGCACAGCTTGGCAGAAATATCTGAGGTGTTCCTTTAAAACTCAAATGCGTTTGGGTATGCATAGATGATCAAATTGTCCACCTCCCCAAGGGTTCCTATTTTGCTTGGTATGGAATGGTGTAGAGGTAAATTTTCACCTAGTTAGCACGCTATTAAGTCAGGAGGTGTAAAAGATTTGGATATGATTTGGTCTATCATCCTACCATTGATCTCCTGGCTTCTGAACTAGGTGGAAACAGCTTCCATACTTCAGATATTGAGAAACAAAGGGCCGGGGAGAAGAAGACGTGAGGGCTGCAGAGAGGCTAATGTCGAGCTGGCCAGGAAAGGAGATCGCCTAGCTTTTGTTCCAGTGACCAAGAATAGAGAAAAAAAGATAAAAAAGAGATATTCATTACAGTTTCTTTTGTTGTTTTTTTTTTGAGGCAGGGTTTCTCTGTATTGTTTTGGAGGCTGTCCTGGAACTCGCTCGGTAGACCAGGTTGGTCTCGAACTCACAGAGATCTGCCTGCTTCTGCCTCCCGAGTGCTGGGATTAGAAGTGTGGGCCACTAAAGCCTGGCTTAAACTTCTTTTTGAATCATTTCACTGAATGTTAGTGGAGTTTCTGTTTCTTCTTTTGGGTGGGACAAATGAAAGCAGAGGCAGATACCTACAGCTAAACACTGAGATGATCTGCTGGAACCCACTGACAGAGAAGGAGGACTGATGGGCAAGGGGGTCAAGACTGGGATGGTTTAACCCACAGAAACAACTGACCTGAAAAAGGGGGAGCTCTTGAACCCCAGACTGATGGTTGGGAGTCCAGCATTGGACTGATCTAGACCCCCTGGATGTGGGTGTCAGTGAGGAGGCCTCAGCAGTCTATGGAGCCTCGGGTAGTAAATCAGTATTTATCCCTGGCACATAAATGGATTTTGGGTGCCCATCCCATAATGAGGGATGCTCTCTCAGCCTGGACACATGGGGGAGGGCCTAGGCCCTGCCCTGAACGAAATGACAGACTCTGGAGATCCCCCATGGAGGGCCTCACCCTCCCTGGGGAATGGAGTGGGGCTGGGGGGAGTCTGGGGGGTTTCGTGGGAGGGTGTGGGAAGAGGGGAGCTGGGATTGACATGTGAAGAAACCTTGTTTCTAATTTAAATTAAAAAAAATTTATTCATTCATTACTAGTTACAACAGTACCCTGAGGGGGAAAAGTGGTGGAGAAAAACTGAGGACCTGGGACCACCTGCTTTCAGTTGGTTATGAATGTGGTTTCTTTTGGTCCTAAATTTATCAGAGATCAAATATGACTTGCTTGGTGGAGTTTTTCTTGTAATGGAGGGCCATAGAAAAACAAAGATATGAGCCCATAAGACAGGGACATGACAAGTCTTAGGAAGAAAGGGAAGACGGGGAAGGGAGAGGTGTGTGATGGGTTGCAGCTTCTTATGAAGTGGTTGGAGGAGGGCTCAGGGAGTGCATTTTTGGGCAGTGATCCTATGAAAGAGACAGAGTAACCTACAGTGGCACTGAAGCAGGGAAATGCATGGAAAGACAGAGGCTGGGAGGTGGGAAAGTCCCTGGATATTTGAGGAGAAAAGAAGTCAGGGTTGCATGGGTAAGTACAGAGAAAAGCATGCAATACTGAGACCCTGAAATCATGGCTGTTGGGAAGACTCTAGATTAACACTTTCCAAGAACTATGTTTTATCATTATTTAGAGCATGGCACATGTGGAGAACCCAAACTCATCTTTTTCAAGAGTTCTCCCTGAAGGTATTATCTTTTCAAGACAAGTGTGTAAGGCTCACTAAGAGTGTCCAGAAACTGACAGAACATTCAGCAGGTTTTTGATCATGGTGGCTTCAACTGTATTAACATCACCAAACCACAGAACTAAACATTTCTTGGTGGCAAGATCCATGCCATCCACATTCTTCCAAGAAGCCACATGTGGAGAAAATTTACTTATAGTAACAACTCAATAAATATCTTCTTTAAAAATGTGTGAACAATGGCTTGAGAGTGATAGAAAGGACATGACTTCTTATAAAGATTTGCTAAAAATACACCCTTCTAAAAACGTTGTGAGATTACATTTGCAGCATTCTGACTCCCTTGGAATGACTTTAAACACAAGTCCATATGCTGAAATGTGAACATAAGTACAACAAACTGAGCAGTGGAAACATTATTTTCAGGCCAAATTTTAGTTGGGTGGTTGCATTTTGTCTATCTTATTTTCCTACCCTGTTGTAAAATGAAAGCGAGAAGTGTTTCCTACCCTCTCATGGTATTAAATGGGTTGGGGTCTGGGCTCCTAAGAACATGTGGCTTCCCTCACCACTGTTTTACCTGGGGTAACTGTGTTAAGATTGTGATAAGAATCACACGGGATTATCAGTCTCCAAGGGAGGGGTGGGTGATCATGTTATGTTGTAATATGAAAGACCAATGTTTTAATTTTCTCCTTCTTTCCTTCCCCTGTCCTCACCATAATATCCCTATAATGTACCCACCCCTCCTTGTTATAATTCAATGTCCACATTTGCAAAGTGAGGGTAACACAAACCTACCCTCTGCCTTTCAGGTTTTTTGCGAAAATCAGTGAACTAATATTGGTAAAATTGGAGCCCCATGGATGAAGGGTACTTTGTAAGTATACCACATTCTTGTCATGTTCTTTTATATTTCTCCAAAGTGCAAATACCAGATGTCTGCTTTTGCTGTATCAGGAATTCAGTAATACCATGTTCACACCCAGATATTGATAACCTGCCTGTCTTTGAAGAATTTAATGTTTCTGACCTCTCAAATGTTTCATCTAGATGTTTGATATAGAAAAAAGCATCTTCTACAAGAGCAGTAAATTCATATAAAGTAGACTAGATAATTTGGACTAATAAATGTCTGTACAGTGTGTAAAATTCTCTTGATATAAATTCAATGTGTTTTTTTTTTACCTGTCTCTCCCTTTCCAATTGCATTGAACTTGTATTTTGAACCATCTGTTTGTTTCTTGGAGGAGGGACTGGTTTCCATAAGGGTGAGTGATGTCTTGATGATGAATGTCAACTAGATGGTTTGCTAGATATTATGTTTCCAGACTTTGTGAGAGGAGAGGAGGCTGAACAGACAGAGATGGGTGCAAACTATCCTCTCACACCTGATTACTCTCTAGGTGATTTGAAGTTGCCTTTTATCCACTGGATGGTAAAGGCTACAAAGCCAAATAGCTCCAGAATGGGGCATAAGTATGATTGTCTTCCAGCAACTATTTAACTCATCGTAATGGTACATCTTTTCATTTTTTCTGAATCAACCAGCATCCCAGAACTGTGTATTTGACCATGGGCTGATTGGCTATGTGACTAGTACTTAATTCATGAAATTTTCTTTTGAAAAAGTAGATGATACCCTTTAAAACTTCTAACCCAAAGGAATTCAGAAACTTCCTGGAGCCCACATTAGTGGCCAGCCTTGGGGTTCAGGTATGAGGCTGTAGCATCTACATCTGTTGGCCAATCTAAAGGCTCCATCTCACTAATGCTTGAGTACTTCTGCAGGGGGCAGAAAATTTTACCAACAGCATTCATTACTTCTGAATTGATGACAAGTTCATTCTCAAGTTACCTCCCCGGAATCCTAATTTTACTATCTATCCCTACAAAGAATAAGTCTTCCCCCTTCAACATGAAACCCTTTCAAATATTCATGATGGCACCTGTCAGGTCCCTTTAGGTTAATTTCTATTCATAAGGAGACTTCATGGTCACAGCATCCAAAGCCTGCCCCTTTGGAGAGGTCCTCATTTGTTTATATCTTTCTTAACAAGCAGCACTGAGAATCTACCTTCTCCAGCCCCACTCTACACCTCAGAGTCAACAGAGCTAGTGAAAGGTGGAAGAGAGCTACCTCAGAAGATACCGTCCGGAACCAGGTGTGCCCTCGGAATACTTTAAGCATCAAGACTACAAGGCTCACATCCCTCTGTGAGGTGCAGATGACTGACAGGGAGAAAGTTGTTTTGGTTAATAATACAATCTGCTCACCTCCTGTAGACACAGCAGAAGCTTACTAATCTGTTAGAAGTGAATTAAGGTTGTTTACTGATGTTTTAAAGTAACTGTCAGAATGAAAAAAAAAAGTTAGCACTAAATGAGACCACTCACCTACTTCAGAGCTGTTGTTTATTTTAAACTGTGTGCATAAATAATATATTGAGATCCAAAGGGTGATTTCAAGCAGTAGAACACGAAGCCTCCTGTTTACTAACTGTCATCAGGCCGAAGAGAATTTAAACAGCTCTGAACCTTTTTGTCTGTGGATGCAAAGCATGAAATTAACTTTCATTTCATAGTTAGCAGAAATCATGATGGCGTCTTGTTGTCCTGTCTCCTGCTGGATCGTTTTTTGCTATGCAAGACAGGCCTTGGCAGCAGAATGCCTTATGTTTCTTTTGAAACAAGACCCCTTACTCCCCCACAAAATAAGCAGGGGCCTGTCTGAACCAGTCAGTCAGCTTTCTGGCTTACTCTGGCTAGAAAGAAGCATAGTAGAAATATATTAGTCTGGCCTCCAGGAATTCATGTTCTGAGTGCTTGTGGGTCTGTCTGAAATCCCCTTCTCCATGAGAAGATTTAGAATAAAAGCATCTACTTCCATTGCTTTATGGGATGAGGGTGAGACTCTCATGAGGTCATTATAATTTAAAAGGTCAGGTGTCATAGGTAAGTGACGTGATACCAACTGCTAACAATGGTAAGGCTGGATGCTAAAAGAAAAGGCTGCATTTTAAGTGAATTACATGTACTAGTTCATTATATCTCAATTGCCCTGTGACATATGGGCTGAGAAGATCCCAAATCTTACCACTCCAAAACCAAAGCACAGGGAAGTCATGTGGCTTCATCCATTTTGTGGAGAGTTTTAAATGTGAGCTGGTTAGGGCCCAGAGTCTGTGTTCTTTACTAATGCCTGTTTGGGAAGAAGGGCCAGGTTTTCCTCTGTGAGTTTGTGCCTCTTAGACATGTACAAAGAAATAAGCCATTGTGTGTAAAAGCCTGGACCACATTCAGGCCTACAAAATATAAGGACAGCTTCTCCATCACCAAGGAGATCTCCTGTTGGGTAGGGGATGTCACAGACTGTATGGGTTAATTATGTTTTATGTGTAAACAGCCTGGTGATTCTTAGCTGAAAAGCACTAAATAAAAAGACCCATTTCTTGTAATGCTTCCAGAAACAAGAAATTTGATTCACTTTCTGTCCCCTTAAACTCGAAAGTGTGATAGCCTATTTTGGAGCTCAGGGAGAGTGTTAGAGAATGAATAGAAAATGTATGGAATATTTAATTTTGCATGATTGCATTTCACATTTGCTGAAGTAATGGAGGCATCACAGAACACCTATTTTTGATGTTTTGATGGCGTGCTCCAGGCTTTACAGCCTGATTTATGAACTTTGTGAGATAAATCCTTATTAAGCAAATGAACAGAAATGCATTTGTGTTCACATCACTGAAAACATTCAATTTGTACAACTACTTTTTAAATTTCTATTTACACTGTATTTATTGGAATTTCAAAAGAGAAAAAGAGCCTAAAGCCATTCATGGGAAAAGATGATGTGGATTTGTAGATGCTTCTGCCCAGAAATATGTTTAGTTTGCACTGGGGTTAAACGTGGCCTGGCAAGAGGGGGGTCTGGTTTGCTTTATATTTCTGAATGAAGCTGTTCAAAAATAGGATCATTTCCATAATCCAGAAAAATGGATGGACTCCTGAGAAGTAATCAGCTGGGGGAAAGAATAAATTTTGTTCTTCCAAATTGCCCTAATCTCAGCAACTGCTGCTGCACTCTAGCATTTGTTAATACAGTAAGATAATTGCATAATTAAATACACTATGGAATTCCAATAATTGGAAACTTTGTTTTCTCATCACAACACACAACTTGCTGATGCTGAAAAGCTCACAAAGTATTTTCAGAAGCCAGGATCATCCTTTCCCTTCATGTCCTCTGCAGTGTTTTGCAACTCCTCAGGAGGTTCTGAGGCATATTTCTTGAGTGTTCTTTTTAGTTAGTTGTATTTAGAAAGGTGAAACGAAGCAGGAAATTCCCAAAGTCTGACTTGTTTGTCCAGACCGTGAGGTTGAGGATCGTTTCTCTGAAAGTCCCCTTAGTTCTATTCAACCAGGGAGCCCCACTCTACGTAGTATAGTGAGACAGCTTAGTGGAGCCTCTTGGAGGTCAAATCTGGTATGGCTTCTTTGTGTGTGACAGTGGGAAAAGATGACCTCTTCTTTTTGCTTACTTATAAAAGGAGAAGTTTACTTACTCACATCTTGGTTTGGTGCAAGGTCTAATTGAGTTAATATATGGAAAGACCATAGGAAGCACTAGGCACATAATAAGTCTCCAATAGTTGGTGGCTATTTTAAGTAGGCAATCCAGAGTGAGGCTTCATATCCATTTGAACTGTAGCAAGTCCTGGAGTAAAGAACAAATCATGGGACTTAGCATTCTACCCATCCGAGAAATATTTGTTGAATCCTTCATGTACCACTATTTTTGATGCCAATGAAATAAAGATATGCGATATCAGCTCTTGACTTGCAATAGTTCAATGGGATTGGGAAATAGGTAGAAACATGAGAATGATGATGATGATGATGATGATGGTGACAAAAATATCAACATGGTACCTAGTGCAGAGCAAAGATGTTTTCAATGGCAGGAATTGGCTTGTTCTCTGTGTCTCTTTTATCCAGTAAACATACAATTCAGCTTCCTACCATTTAGTTTGTAATTCAAAGAAGTTTAGGAGTATAGAGTAGGTTCCTGTCACTGGGTAGTTACTTAGCACCGAAAGGATCATTGAGTAAATGACACCAGTGAAATGGGCTTTAAGATGTTTGCCTTTAGGAGTCAGTAGTGGTTACCACAGCCAGTTTGTGAATACTGATTTAGCCATAGCCCATTTGTAAATACCAATTTATTTGCTTTTGTTGGAATAGAGGGTAATTAGAAAGTGAGGTGCATAGGTACCAGACTATAATAATGACTGCCACCCTAAGGATCAGACAAGTGATTCCTTAATCTTTGCGCCTTCAACTCTTCACTTCTCTCACTAAGGTCCACCTCTTGTTGAATACATTGGCTTCACACTTGTTCATGTGTGAATGACCTTTACTTGTATATGTCTGTGAACTTTTCCCCATCAGGTTTTACTTTGAAGAATTTGAAGCCTACATAAATTGAAAGAATAGCCCTCCAGGGACATTTTTAACCCATATCTACCAATTTGCTTTTCTGCATCTATAACTTTGAACTTTGTCCTAATTCCAAATGTCTTACATTTTCCCACCGCCTGGGATCTCCCCAACAGCTCTCATATCTTCTGACTCTGTAGCCATAGTGTTACATTTACCTTCTAATTCTGTGTTTCCGACTTGTAAATTTTGGAAAGAAAGTCAATAGGAATATTAAAAGAACTTTCCTTACAATTTTAACAACTCGGTTTAAAACTTACTTCTTAAACCTTATTTTTAGATAGCATACCAACATACTAAGAATGTGGTCAATGTAAGATAACTAAAACTTAAAGGTTAGAGTATTTTTCTGGATGCAGTGACATTCTCTTCTACAGAGAA